TTTGTTTACATAGTGAGGTAAAATATTTTCACTGTGTGTTTTGACTCTTTCCTCTTTTGTTAGGAGTTACTTGTTCTCTTGAAGATATGGTATCATTGCAGCTGTTATTATAGTATGATTCTATTTCTACCATTGGTCTCAGGACTTAAAGTTTCAGGAGCTCTGAATCATTCAAACCTGTGACAGAACCCAGTAGCAAAGACAGAAATGAACTATGCAATTTCACATTATAGTTTGGCTATACTTAGGCAAAATTTTACAAGTCTTTACTTTTTTTAAAAGGAGAAATATTCAAAGATTTGAAATAATCTGTCCATAGTAAAACATCTAATAATTAACATAATTAGAATTTTAAGACTTCGTAATTTCAAAATTTCACACTACTCTGATGGTACTCACCAATGCATGCCAGTCACCAGTGAGAGGCAGCCTCAGTGGGATTGTGAGCTTTTGCAGCAATCACTCAAGTTTCCCATCTACACATTTCAATATATGGATTTTCATCAGATCACCCAAAACTGTACACCAGAGGAAAAAATGTAACCATAGGTTTCATTACCTTTCACTGAAGAGGCTCGTTGGACTTACCAGCAAAGACACTTTTCAATTTACCATTCTTTTTTTTTTAAGATTTTATTTATTTATTTGACACACACACACACACAGAGCATAAGCAGGGGGAGTGGCAGGCAGAGGGAAAGGGAGAAGCAGGCTTCCTGCCGAGGAGGGAGCCCGATGTGGGGCTCAATCCCAGGACCCCGGGATCATGACCTGAGCCAAAGCAGGCACTTAACGACTGAGCCACCCAAGCGCCCTTCAGTTGCCAAACGGAACCTAACATGCTTCTTAACAGAGAAGCTCATGTATAAAATTTCTTTCTCCTTCAGTCCCTTTATCTGTCTCTAAGCGCAGAATGCCATCTCCTGCTGATCTCTGCTTTCCAAGCTGGCATTTGCTGCACATGTTTCGAATGTACATGGTATTGGAAAAATGATCCCTCACCTGGACAAGGCTTGGAGAGAGCTCATTTCACAGGATGCACACAAAACTAGGGCTGCAACATAGACCTAAGAGGCACAGGAAGACAGCAGATGGTCTTGGGTATCTGATATGATCAAACCAGCCAGTGGGCATCTTTGAATGCTGCCATGACTTAGCTTTTGCTCTACCCTGCTTGGGCTGCCCCTTGACATCCTCCAATTGAATGAGCAATTTGCCCTACTTATAACTTCATGTGTCTTGAGGTGTAGACATTTGTGAAATTTAAACATTTCAAAATTAACTGTGTGCCAAAGCCCTCCAACGTTTATAACATTATCAGACAAAAAAATTTCCATAGTCACTCACAAATACGCTGACCTCTTCTCACTAACATTTTCTGGAAGTCCTGATTTTGAAATGGAAATTATTATGTCAAGAATACCAAGTTCATTTCTCTCAAAGGAGTAGGAATGGATCTCAGGGCCCATGGGCCCCAAGACTGTCTGTCTGATCGATAAAGCACATGGAGAAGGATGGTCCATGACATAGAGCCCTCTTTCTCTTTATCTGTCCTTCATATTTAACACCCATTTTCCTGCATTATCTTAAGGTCTGGATTGAATGGGAACTCTTTTGTCTTGGCCAAGGCAATAAGGCATCCTTATTGGATTGCTGTTTATTTAACACCTTTATTGATGGGTATGGAGGGGAGACTGGGAGATAATGCTAATAAAAAGAAGTGAAATTTCTTTAAAACAGGTACTTTTAATGTTCTTAAATCTCTTCCATCCTTCCTACCTTCATTCCCTCCTTTACCTCCTTCCTTCGAATTCCTTGCTTCATAGGTGTTTGTGTAGGATGAGAAAACAAACAACTTATGTTTGTGGGTGATAGTATTGGCCAACCAACAAGCAAGAGTATTTTTAACAAGCAGGGCCTGATTACGTGAGGCTTGTGAGCCCGATTCTTTCAGTACAGGAGTGGATCCTGTCTTTATTTAAAATTTGGACTTTTGGTTCATTATTTATGATTTTTTTGCATTAATTTTCATTTTTTATTTTTTTAAAGATTTTATTTATTTATTTGAGAGAGAGAGAAACAGCATGAGAGGGGAGAATGTCAGAGGGAGAAGGCTCCCCGCTGAGCTGGGAGCCTGATGTGGGACTCGATCCCAGGACTCCGGGCTCATGACCTGAGCCGAAGGCATTCACTTAACCAACTGAGCCACCCAGGCGCCCAATTTTCATTTTTTAAAATATCGCATTGAAATATGTACCTTGATTACTGTATTTATTTGCATCACTTAAATCTTGTGCTAGAGGCAGGTGCCTTACTTGCCTCACCCTGGGACTCTCCAGAAACAAATGCAATAGATGAAGGCTTAAGAAAACCTCTACTCAGAAATTAAACTTACAAGCCATTTGTAAAAAGCTACCAGAGACAAAGCTAAAACCCAATTCTACGAAAGCCACCTAAGGTCATGAGAAGAAGTGACAAGATGCAGCTCAACAGCTAACACTTTAGCAAAATAATTATATTTGTGCTCATCTGTTATTTAACAAGTTCTGTGCTTTTATTTTTTTATTTTTTAAATTTTTTTTTAAGATTTTATGTATTTATTCATGGGAGACAGAGGGAGAGAGAGAGAGAGAAGCAGAGGGAGAAGCAGGCTCCCAAGGAGCAGGGAGCCCGATGCGGGACTTGATCCCAGGACCCTGGGATCATGACCTGAGCCGAAGGCAGGCGCTTAACCATCTGAGCCACCCAGGCGCCCCAAGTTCTGTGCTTTTAAATGAGAAAATACTATTTATTCTGAAGGAACAGATTAAATTACTTTTCTATTTAAGAGATTTTTTTTGAAATGCGGGATTTATGGGTTTTTGTCAAGGACCTCTTTATTTTATATCGTCTTTTTAGTATTTTCCAATTGCCTTGTTACTTTTCAGAATCCTTGACTTCTTTTAGTCACATTTATTTCAGAAATGGTTGTGATTTATCTAAAGCATTTTATTAGCTGTGTGAAGTTTGGGAAATAAATAGCATGATTCCTATCTATTCTGCTTAGTTAGTTTTCACTGTGTATTTTTATAACTCTTCACAGTGGGTTTAGTTGGTGGCATGATTACCAGGTGGGGGGCGGGGGTGGGGGTTTAAATAATTCCACATCACACTAAGCCTAACACCGCATACCTGCTATCACAATTGCAAACATCTGAAAGGAGAGGTTTCGTGAGGCTAAGTCTCTCCGTAGCTGGTGTTTGTCTTATTTCAGAGATTTTCCGTAATCGCTACACAAGTGCGTCCCTGGTAAAGAAGATATTCACTTAATCAGAGCAACTTGTTTCTCAGTCTCAGACCCCTGTTGATCTCTAATACTCTTACATTTATTCTGCACTTTTCTGTTGAAAATGGAAAGAGTGCCCAGTATAATTAAATATTCTTGTGATCCCCAGTGCTACGAAAATGGGAAGAAAGAAAGAGTCCTTCTAAACAAAGAAACAAAGACCTAGATGAGTCTGTGCTTCTTTTCATGCAACAGTTCAAGGTATCTATTTTTCTTCAGGGTCTATACATTTGTTAGTTTCCTCACCATTCTACCGTTAATTTAAAGAAGTCCCATGTAGAAATCTGCAGAGGAGTGAGCCTGAATTGCCTTCCTACCAGAGGGGCACGCCTCTGTCTTTGATCAAGCTCAGAATTAGATCAGCTAAGGCCGGGGTGAAAAAGGTGAGTAGATGATAAGTTGAAAGCAGCACCGAGGTTTTGGATGAGGGAAGGGAAAAGAACAGCAACCCTTAAGCAAAAATCCATACCAAGGCCTGAGGTTTACACATCCCAGGTCCTCTCTCATGGCCCAGCCAAGAATGTTCACAGAGTCTGTCTCCATTCATCACACGTGCCCTGGCAGCTCCACTTTGAGCCTCAGATCACAAATGTGTGTCACCTCCTCATGGAGCTACACCTGCATCCGCCTGGGTCTTCCCCAGCAGAGGGCACATCCATCACCCCTGGGAGGTACGTGTGTTGGAGCAGCTGCCGGCCTCACACTGCACAGAAGGACTGAAGGGCCTGCTGGCTCCTTTGCCTGCTTGGGCTGCTTTGTGGTAATAAACCTAAGGAATGTCTAAACCTGGAGCTGTCAAAAAGAAGAAGGTTGTTTTTGCTGGAATGTCCGCGGTTTTATTCCCTTTCCCCACGATTCCCATTTCAGAAGCTTTAACTTTTATGGGTATTTTTTAAATAATAAAATGGGGAGTTTTTAAATGTGGTTCTAAGATGCAGAACCCCCCTAGAAGTCTAGATTTGGTTCACCCAGAAAACCCAAGCCAAGCGCCTTGAACTTAATCTGAACTTCTCTCTCCCCACCCCCACCACAATGGCAACATTTTCCACTCATAACATCACTACACTGTAACTTTGCTCTCTGGCAACTGTGTCATTGGTGATTAGTAAAACACTCTGAAACAATGACATCATGTCTATAAAATAATCACAAAAATGCTAAATATTAATGACTAAGTCTCAGAATGGAATTTGAGCAACGCCAGTGGTGGCTAGGTTCACTTTATATATTCTGATTTTGTGAAATTTAAATAGGTTTGATTTCCACCCCACCCCCCCCCCGCACCCCCAACCCTTGCCTAATTTCGGCCATCCCCTCATTTCTCCACTTTCCTGGCCCCTTCTCTTTCCCAAGGAGTTCGGAGTAAGAAGACCTGTTAAGTTTCAAAATCACCCAATTTGCCCTCTGATCTTTGTTGGAAGCTTTTCTTCATTTTCAAGCAGAAGCATAGCTCTGTAGATTCAGGTACCTTTTGCGCTCCAGACACTTCACAGTTCACAAGCTGTGGTAGAGCTATGGAAATTTTAAAGCACACATATTGTCCAGATGAATGCAAATAAAAATCTGTCTTGCCTTCTTGGAGAGTGGAGACCGGGAATATGGATCACAAAAGCAGTGGAATGTTAGAAGCTCACAAAGCAATGGAATGTTAGAATTGAAATTCAGCCCAACACCCTCACCGATAGTCTTGAACATTTTTAAAACACAGTAGGCTTTTAAGCTTAAGCCAGAGTGAATGGTAAAGGAAATACCATCCATGTGGTGAAACATCATCCCAAACGCCCTGCAACATTTACTAACTCACTGGCTCTGTGAACTCATTATTGTTGCGAGATCTGCCATTAATTTTCAAGTCCATGTTTTGGAGAGAAAACGCATTTACACAATTACAAGGTAAATATTAAGACATTTTGCCCTTGTCATATGCTTATAGGTTCATGATGCTACTTTCTCACCATTAGTACGGTAATTACTTTAAGGGGCATTTTTTTCTTTGAGGGCTATTTCTTTCCTTCGCATTCCCTTCCCTCCTTTCTTTCTTTTAAGAAGTGGCTTAGCATCCATGTTCTTGTCCAGGAAATTTTTGAGTGTGACATGAAGCCCAAGTGGTGGTACAATTACACTTCCAGGCCTATCAGAGAGACCTCCCATCTCTCTTTATTTCATAGCAACTCACTTGTGTATCTGTTTGGATATAAATTTCTAAAAGATGCACTCTTCTGATGCACCATCCTATTTCCCATGCAGAGTAGATGTTTAGTAAATATTTGTTAGAGTGAATGAATGAGGGGCGCCTGGGTGGCTCAGATGGCTAAGCGTTAGACTTGGTTCAACTCAGGTTGTGATCTCAGGGTCAGGAGCCCCTGTTAGGTTCTGTGCTAAGCATGGAGTCTGCTTAAGACTCTCTTCCTCTCCCTCTGTCCCTCCCCACCTGATCACGTGTGTGCTCTCTCTCTCAAATAAATAAATCCTAAAAAAAAAAAAAAAAAAGAATGAATGAACGAACACATGCATGCTGTTCTTTATAACACTTTATTTGGGAAAACAAAACTAAACTAAACTAAAGCTTGAAAATTACTATCATCCTTGCCATTCTTTACCTCTGGGATGCCTTTACATGCTGGCTAGAAATGGCTGGCTTTGAACTCAACTAACTCGCCGGTGTGGTTTCTGCACATGGGGAACCAGTACCAAGGCTCAAAGCAGCCTCATTCTTACTCCACTGACTGTGCTGGTTGGCATCAGTGACTCCAGCTACAGAGATCCTTGAGCTAGTGGTGATTTTAATGAGGCAAATAGATTCTAAACCTCCAAATTAAGCACCTAGAAAAGACCCAAACTGGGTAGCCCCTTTAACAAGACTTCTCTGTGCAGTAGTGCATTCGGCGTCAGGAACTTTCTGTGAACTCTAGAAGTGACCTCTTTCCTTTCTTTGCTTCCACTTAATCAGATTGCATGTGACCTTTGGGAGCCTAGTGCTTGGATGTTGAAAAGAGTACATGAAAGGATAAAACACACACACACACTTTTGGGGTACGCTGCCTTTGGAGGCATATTAAGATCCCTTTGAATGCTGTTGTTTTTTTCTCATTGAAAATATCAAGTCTGTTTTCTATATAAACAGGCATTTTCTTTTATCTTGGAGATATTGTTTTACATTCCAACCTTATGGCTTAAATATTTTATTTGTCTCAAAATCATTTTTTTAACATGGGCCGATTATTTGAAACAATCTCACTCATGTTGGAAAAGAATTGTTAGTGACCTTTCTTTCAACTGAGGAGGAAAACAAACATACAAATAGTATTTTTCTCCTGTATTATTTGCAATGGTTAGTCATACATAATTTCTCTGAGTTAGCACAACCTGCAATTGAAAGAGATGTACGAACATGACTTTTCTGAGTATTCACCCCATAAAGCGTTTGCATGAAGACTCCTGCCTAGCTCACCATCGTGAGGGGAAAAGAAGTAATTTCAGCTTTTGGAGACTAGGAAAATGATTATATTTACTTCATATCTTAAGTGAAAGTTAATCAGATAAAAGCATGAGAAGGACTGTAAATGGAAGACAATCTGTATTTGTGAACTGGGTTTACTGATCCATGGTGAAATTACAGAGCAGGAACGACAGCTGTCTTTGTTGTCACTGGGGTCCTCCATCTCTCGTCTTGTCCCTGTCCTTCTTCGAGCTCTTCCACCCCCTCCCCAATGTCCCACTCTGGAGGGATTCCCTCTCGTATCTTGGCCAATTATAATACAGAGCAGAGGTTGGCAAACTTTTTCTGGAAAGGCCAAGATAGAATGCACTGCTATCGAGGCTCCTCTTGTCCCCACTTCTGCTTGTGGTATTTTACTGTTAGAGTCTACACCTCCCCAAATACAATGCCTCACCATGAATCTGCTTCTGCTCTCAGTTGCAAGCTGTGATCTTGAACAGAGGAGGGAGGAAAAATACTGGTGGAGGTGGGAGAATTTCAGTGCTCTGGAGGCCTGGCCGCATCCCTCCGTGCCAGATGCACAACCCGCAGCACAGGGGCAATCCTGGGGCCTCTCTTATATTTCTAAACCAGAGGGCTGACTGCCTACCTTCTGGCAGCCACATTCTACTGGTTTTTGACAGCTGGGTGCTTTGGCACCATCTATCTTCTGGTTTTTCGGCATTTCTCCTAGGTTCTGGAATAAATTTAATGGCTGGCCCTCATATTTGGTCAGTGGTGTTAGAAATATACACTTACTCTGTGCCTTTCCAGCTACACTGCTGGGAAGTAGGGAGAGGAGCTGTTAATCACGTTTCGAATATAATCCTGGATCATATTTCTTGCTCATGGCATGCCTTTCTGTACTAAATAGCCCAGCCCAGGGAAGAGAGTGGAGCACCCTCACCAACAGCAGGCACTCATGGGACAGCACTGTGTGGTCTTTCCAGACCTTGAGGTGCACGATATAATGGTAGTTCAGCAAATATAAATGGAATGATAACAATACATTTTAAACGAAGAATTAGCTCTGAAGTATTAAGATGTTGCCACAGTGATGTCATTTACCTCAATATTTGGAGGATTTATAAAAACTGAGTGTAGGGGCACCTGGGTGGCTCAGTTGGTTAAGCATCTGCCTTTGGCTCAGGTCATGATCCTAGGGTCCTGGGATTGAGCCCCGAGTCAGGCTCCCTGTTCAGCCGGGAGTCTGCTTCTCCCTCTCCCTTTGCCCTTCTCTCCCCCTCATGTGCGCACTTGCTCTCTCTCTCTTCAAGAAATGAATAAATAATCTAAAAAACATAAAGAATAAAAACTGAATGTATTTGAAAAGCGGTTTTATCCTCTAAATGGGATGTGCACAACCTAACTTTTATCATTAGATACCCGGAAACTCTGAATGTTCATGGTGGATTAAGAGGCAAGCGAATCCGTTGGAAGGTGGGTAGTGGAATCCTGGCCTTAAGCTCAGCCAGACCCTCTCACTAATAAAACTTGGTGCACTGGTCAACTTGGTTTAGAGATTACTCACCAATTTGGTTGTAGACATTGAAGGTGAGGAACAAAAGGACAAAGTAAAGAGACTTCTCTGAGCTCACAAGTTATTATCAGAGATTGGACTAGGTCCTAGGTGAACCAGGTACCCTTTGTCCTTTCCCATGTCCACAGCATCTAAATTTGACCCATCTGTCTCTCATATAACCCACTCACTAAAGGAACTTTGTCTCATACATCTTTGTATGTCCTCACAGAGCCAAGCACAGAGCCTTGGCCATAATGACTGCTCAAACAATATTTGCTGAGGAAGTTAGATCTAGCAGAAGTGTTTCCTGACCTCCAGCATCTCATACTCCTTTGTTTGCTCTTGTACCTGTGTCAAGGCAAGACATTGTGTCTCTTGATGATCCCCGACAATTTTCTGCACAATACAAGCTGTCGAGGTCAATTATGTGTCACTAGGTGTTTTAATCTTAGCACAGAAATGTTATTTTTCTTGCCATCCTGGAAGAATTTCACAAGAATTTCAGAGACTGACTAAATGATTGCAGAATTTCTGCATTTCTGCCAAATTGCGTTGAATAATAACAACAAAAATAAACAGCATTAGTCCGAAAGTCATGCAGGAGCAGGTTTAGGCAGAGAACAAAGCATGACATGTGTGAATTGGCCAACTAACATGGTTCTCACAACACTGGCTCTATTGTCAGCAATGATAAAACCTGAGAAAAGGCCTTGGCAAGTATGCTGTACATTTATTTGTTTTTGAGCTTTGATAATAGGTTGGCGTGATGTGATCTTTATTACACCGTGCAATGTAAAATGCAGCTTGTTTTTAAAAGCCATTGCCAATGACTGACAGATATTTATTTCAATGGCATCCAGTGATCTGAACGTCTCATGTCATTCTGTACTTGCTCACTTTTCCATGAATAACTTACCATGTAAAGAGCATGTTTGGACTTACTTGAACTCATTATATAACCCCAGGTTAGTGAGGGATGTCTTGGAAGGCTAGAGAAGAACTGTTGTGTCTCTAAGACAATTAACTGTGTTTCCATTCTTGATTTAACTCTTACTGTAAGTGACGGCCAAAGCACTTCACTTAGCCAGAAATATCCAACAGACCAGCATTCACAAGTTTGTTCTGAGGCATTTTTGCCTAAGGTCAACCAATTGTAATGGATTCTTCAGTTGTAGGAGGTTTTATGTATTATTTTGTTGGTAAAAGGAGAAGTATAAAGACATCCAGTTTCGTAAAAACATACAGGGCTAAACATATCAAAGCCAGAATAGCAGATTGCTTACGGATTATTTCCCCCTGGAGAGTCAGAGAAGTTACATTTTTGTGGCGTTTTAACAGAAAGCCTCCTGGGAAAATCAAGAGTAATGGGTCATTTCCAATTTCATGGGCTTTCATTTAATTAGATCACATTAATCTTTAACATTTAGTTTATATTATTGCACTGGAGGATTACAAATTGACAGGGAAGAGAGGAAAGGCAGTCGTCAGGAGAATAATGCATTATTTAGGGGGAACGAAGTGGTGGGGAAAGAGAGGCTGAGCAAGGCGTGGTCCGATGACATTGAAAGACTAGAGAGGGCTGAGTCATTGGTCCTGTTCTTATTTCTGCAGACAACAGGAGGCTCTATTCCATGACTCAAGACTAGTAGCCATGTTTTCTTAGACTAGCAAGTATTTAAGAAAATTTGAGTTGGAATGCATTTAAGTGGGACATGCACTGGTGCTGCAGTTTCAGACAGTATGTGAATAGCCCATGAAAAATTTTGAAAATGAAGGTGAGTCTAGAGAAAGTATATTGATGTCCAAGAATTCATTCTAAGCTGCTGCTCCTTTTTTTTTTTTTTTTAAGATTTCATTTATTTATTTGAGAGAGAGAAAGAGAGTGAAAGAGAG